ACGGGTAATTTTAGAAAAAAACCGATTTTACATTTCTATCTTAGATTTTCAAGAGCTATCATTTGACACCAACTTTGAATTCAACCGGAGATTAAATTCAATTGGAATTTTTAATCATGGATTAAATTCAAAATTGGCGTCAAATGATAGTTTATGAAAATCTAAGATGGGAATGTAAAATCGGTTTTTCTCTAAAATTAACTGTTCAGGTTTTACAACCTGTCAAAGTTGCAAAAAGTCAATTTTCAACTGTCAATATTTCCAAAACAGTTGAACTTAGGTATAGGGTTTATCACATGATATCTGCTTAGAATTATACGTAGAATTCAAATATGCAATCACATACAGGGTGTTTCATTTAAAATAGCGATGTTGCCACTGGTTTAGAGTAGAAGCGGCAACACCGCATAAACAAAAATATTTTTAAAGCGTAGATCATGGTAGTTTATCCCGGTTGCCAAATTTCCAAAATGATCCGCTTTTTAGTTTTCCATAGACGTCTAATACGCCATCCACCGTGGGACACCCTGTATAGTGAGAAAATGGTAAAATATAAACTAAATACTCTATAATATTTTCACTTCAAAAACCGTGATTACCTACTGCCCATTTGCACTGTCTGAGGAAGGTATTTGATGCGGGTACTTCACATTGCTTTCATGTCGAGCCTAGCCCAAGTAACAAACAACTCTAGAAATGTGGGAGCATATGCCCAAAGTTCTAGCACCAACTTATTCATTATTATCCAGGATGTCCAGCCGAGAGTGACCCATTTCACATGTTGATAACTTTTAAACCAGGTGTGCTAGCTACCTATGGTTTGCGCCATTCGACAGAGCCAGTAAAAAGAAAAGCGTTTTTCAACATCGAAATTATCCACTATTTTTAATGGAACACCCTGTATATCACAACGTCAAAAAAAGAGTCATTTTATTATATCACACGCTGAATATGTGTGAGTATCTTATATCACACCGATTTTTAGGAATTGTGACAACTGACGAATTGTGATTAAGTAGGTAATTACTCTCAGCATTACCCCTTTTGGGTCTTGTTTTCAATTTCAAACTGGGTTTAATGTTCCTAAGAATCCCCGATCGAAAAAACAGTTATACCTACGTACTTTTATCACTTTCCGCCATCTCGAATTTCATCACATTTGTAATGTTTTAGATTTCATGACATCCTTGTGATATAGGCTTTATTTTAAGAACACATTTTTTTAAATCCAACAAAAATTTGAAAAATTACGGAGATAGAATCCAGCGCGACCTTTTTGGTAATACTATTTCTAAGAAATGGGGCTTGATTTCTAAAAGAATACGCAAGCTTAGCCACCCTGTATAGTATATTAGGCTTATCTAGACAATTTATTTGCGCAATCGAAAACAAAAATTCCGATATGTAGCTTGCAGTGCGCGCCAACATCGATAAATAAAGGGTTGTTTTATGATTTTCGGACCCACTTTACTGAGTCACCCTATATATTTAGTTAGGAATTTGGTGCAATGATAAAAAATGCCTATTTTTGCAAGTACTACAACATACCAAATTTTTAAAAAAGTCGACCGGTCCCCGAAAATCCATAAGATGTGTGCGATGTCCTTTGAGGTTGATTCAATTTTTGCGTTGTACAACTTCGCTGTGATATTTTTCTTCCACGAGAGAATAATTTGTGTTTATTTTATTCACTTCAACGATTTGAAGCATCAACTTATTATTATGAAAGTTTATGCATCTCTCAAAGTTCAAAACTCCTTGTGATAACTGAAATAATGTTTCGTAGGCGATTATGAGTCTAACCTACAAATCCAAGATGGTATTTCATCAACTCATAGAGTTTGAGGTTTACCTATGTGAGTAGAAATTATGTGTTAGTAGTTAATAATCCTGGGAAAAGTGAACTGCTCCGCTCATTACTTCCAAAATTCAAGCGAAATAAAACAGAAAAAAAGTTTAAGACTGAAGTCTATGTTGTTTTGTATTTTTCTCTGAAACTTGTTCCAACTCACTCTAAGTTCACGGCCCTCATAATAGCGTGAATAGTACCGAAACGTCGTTTGGATCAACAACAACAACAACAATGTCCATTCTTTTTCAAGTGCCTTGTCCTCTACGAATGTTGGCAATCATCAGCGCTATCTCTACTTTGTCGACGGCTTTTCTAAATAAACTTGTCGTGGCCCAGTCGACGTCCAGCGCGTCTTCTGACCTCAATTTTCCCCTCGATTATGAGATGAAAACTAGGTATTTGTTATTTCTGAGTATGTGCCCGAAGTACTCTAACTTTCGCTTTTTAAGCGTAAACAGAACTTTTGACATTCTCGTTAGCACATCTTTATTCCGCACTCTTTCCGTCTATATGTCCACATTTCAAAAGCTTCTAGCTTTTTAAACATGGCATCAGTCAGAGTCCACTCCTCAATCCCATGATAGAGAATACTGAAGACGTAACAACGTACTACTCGAGTGCGAACGGAGAGCGAGAGACCTCGACTACACAACACGGACTTCATTTATACAAATTATGATACTCTAACCTATTCAATCCTGGCACGAACCTCCGTACCACTGTTTTGTCGTTGACATCAAGATTTATCTTATCTTGACTGTCCAACAGAATGCCAAGCAGCTTCTTTAATTTTCTTATGCATAATAAAATTGTCACATTTGGCTTCGAGGTCTTCGATTCCCTTACACCGTTCATTTGGCCAATTTTCTTTAGCTACCCTGACTTTGTTTTTTATTTCACGACATAACTGACGATATGCTGGCTGGTCTTTTTGCAGGCGTCTTGCTTCCATCAGGTCGAGGATTTCATCAGTTATCCAAGGTTTTTTCCTGACCCTAGTGTTACTTGATGAAAATTTCGAGCTATCGCTAACAAAGACTTTCTTTATACCAGTCCATAGAGTCTCCACTTCATGTCCAATACTCTTTGGAAAGTTGCTGATTCCTTCTTCAATCCAAAGGGCATTCTGTTGAATGCGTAATTCGTAATATCCATTTTCATCATTAAATGCTGTTTTTCGTAGGTATAGCATTTTCGTATATTTCGACTTGATAAAATCCTAACAATTACCAAAACGAGCAATGTCTATTGTCAAGTCAGTTTTACGATCATCCGACTAAGTACCTGACTCCTGTTTGTGCAATTGGCCTATTCTAAAACGAAATACTTGCATCTGATTCCATTAATTTTCAAAGTACGTATTTAATGCCGTCATTACTTAGGAATACAAAAGCTCATTAAAATGATCCTGGATCCTGTTTATACAAATCGTTGTTCATTTAACGGCCCTTCCATTATCTTAAACTTTAATTACCTCTCATAATATATTTTTATCTTCACGAGCTGACAAAACATTGATAATTGCCTGTTTTGCAAGAATATAAAAACTCCAACCTCGGCAAAGCGTTTAATATGAGTGTCTCAAATTGATTAGGAATTTCCAAATGATAATGCCGATCACATACGTAAATGACAGGAGACATATAGTGAAATTGTAAATTAATTAACACGTCTAATGCAGACTGTGCATATGCACTTAAAGCAAAACAGAATGATAATAATAATAAAAGTACATAGGTATAACAATTTGGCTTCTAAAGATTGAGGACAATAGTTTTCCTAAACTTGTTCAAAGCGAATGTTATTCAATCGCAATAAAAGGGTGAAAATCCACTTCATAATTTATTAAAATCAGGACAATTCGGAGCGGGATAAAAAACGTTTTGTTGGGAGACACTCGACATTTTGCCCATGTTGCTATTGTTGTGCCAGGTCAAAATTTATAGTTTATTTGCTTCAAAATTTTAAACGAATTATTCACGAATGATGCGTTTTTAATTTATAGAACATAAATTCAAATTCTATTATCGTGCTGACTTTGAACTTTTAAAAGTATTCCAACAACAATTTATGTCGGATTCAACGGAAAGCAGTAGTAAGTCAGTTATCTGAGCAAATTAATAATAAATTTTACAGCTCTTGATGCTTTTTACAATCTGCGCCAAGAAGGTGAGCGTTATTATACAAGATGTATTGAGAAAACTTTGAGGATTTAAGATTCGAGATCCTCGTAACAATAAAAATCAAAACTCGTATCCTACATCCGTCTGTATGTTTTGGTTTGTTCCCGATACAACGCAATCCACGATCATTTTATGACGCTGTACTTTTTATAGAAAAATTTCCCTGATACTTATACTATACAAGGTATCCCATATAAAAGGAAACTGTAAGAGATACAATTTTGGTTAAATGGGAAAAAAGTTGCGGAATTTAACGCTCAATAAAATAGTGCTTTGACATTTGAAAAATTCCAAAACCAATGACGTATTGCACTTATTCGAAAAATTTATATTATTGTTACTTTCCATGAGAACTTTATGTGTTAAAGAAAGAGACAGAAAGAAGAGAATTTTGGTAGGAAATTACTAAAAAATAAAAATAAAAAATTCTCGAATAAATGCGTCATAAGTTTTGGGACATCAGAAGCTCCTAAAATCTGAAATCCAGAGTCGTATTTAAAACAATAAAGTTAATGATGGTGGCCCAAAGACCAAACGTCAAATTTCAAAATTGTCATCTTGTAAAGTAGGAAAAGTGGTGATGATGAAGTGACATTTATTTTGAATATCTCCTCAAATAAGCTCAGGAAAAAACTAAATCGATTTTGCAAAATTTCGGTTTTTTTCCGGATATGTCGAAAAATGTTCGGAATTTTTCGAATGTCGAAGTACCATTTTATTGAGCGCTGAGTTTGGCAACTCTTTTCCCATTTAACTAAAATTGTATCTCTTACCGTTTCCAATATGCCCATGTAGTTACTTTCATCTGGGACACCCTGTATAATATAAGCGACCAAACTTTATCCAATACACAATTCAGGCCGCATCTCTATGAAACCGCTTTATGGTTTGTTTATGCTTTATTGACGAAATATTGTCTCTTTATAGGCAAAAGTTTTTGACTTGTTGTCGATGCAATATTTCAGGTGCTCCCCAAGTGTTGCGACACACAGCAACCTCGGAAATCTTTATCGAAAGTGGACAAACCGCGGATCTCAGCGTGGTCGTTTGCGCTGATCCCAGACCGAGATTGGTTGCCTGGGAATGGGGCTCGCTCAGACTGAAAGCCGGCAATGAGATGGGTAAGTATTTTGCTCAAAAGCTTTTTACAAAATTACTATATTTATTTTCAAGACAAAGTCGTAGTAAAAGAGAATAGCCTTGGCTGCTACATAAAACTTGCTTCTTAGCGTAAAATGTTTTCCTGGAAATTAAAAATAAAACGTAAAAGATGCTGTCATTGATGTTTTATTTTTATTCTGAATTTTGTGCTGCAACTTTTGAGAAAATTAAAGTACTTACTTATAAAAATATTTCTTTGGCTTTTGAAAGCAGAGATCATAGGCCCAAAAAACTATTCTATACTCTCGTTTAGGAAAATTGGAGCCACATACAAATGAAAAAAGCAAAGGCTCATTATCTTTTGATTTGATGAAATAGAATAATATTCGAGTGTCTTCACATTTGTGCAAATGGTCCACTTATGAAGAAATTACTTCTCGTTTCACGAAGTATAAAGGATTGAATTGTATATCAATATTAAGAGAAATATGGATAAAACTAATATCAAAAACAATAACCTCTAGAAAATTTCATCTGTACAATAAGAAGTGAAATACATACAGGGTTTCAATTTGAAAACTTCCAATGCGAATATCTCTGAGTGTGAAAAAGTCTGAAAAACGTAATTTGGTACAAATGCAGGGGGAATTAGAACCACCATATATTAGTTATGGGGGTGATCTTAGGCTCCATGCACCCCAACCCAAAAATTTTTAATGGCACCACTCCTTTTGTGATACCTAAAATTAAATATATTTTTGAGTGGTATTCACCTGCACAAGAATTTTTTTCTAAATTTAATTAAGGGCCGAACAAAAAGTACAATTCAAATAAGATAAAATGCGTTATTATCAATGCTATTTTAAATATTAAGATGCTCAAATAACATTCCATGTTACGCTACAAAAAGGGATGATATTTTTTGCTCCAAACACTTAGTATAGGGACAGGCTTCAGTAAATAAAAATTGGGGCTTGAAGAGCTTGAAACTTATCATGAAAATGCGAAAACCATTTGAGCAATTTTAATGATGCAACAACATTTTATCATGTGGCGATGACTGACAAAAAATAGAATGTAAATCAATAGTCAGACACAGCACAGCTAGATAAAGATAACGTTAAAATAAAACATCCTAATTTCGGCCTCAACAATTAGAGCTGATAAGAAACTATGGGCAATTAGATTTGTAACACATTATATACATTGTCCACTATATCCTGAAGTTATTATAAGAAAAAAATTGTGTGTCATTATTATATCAATTATTTCAGGAAAATTCAAAGTGGACGACGTAATTCAAGAAGAGGGAGAAGACTGCTATTTAACCAGACTCCACGTCAGAGATACTTCAGCGAAAGACTCGAGGACTTATTATTTGCTCGTGGAAAACGACAAGGGCAAGGATACGCATGCCGTTCAATTATACGTGAATGGTGAGTGGACTAAACATATTATTTTTACGAAAGCAGAAGTTTTACTCTTTTGAGCGGTGATTTTGCTATTGTTTAATTTTAATTTTTGCCTCAATTTTTATCGTTTTCAAGCCACCGCTGAAGGAGTAAAAGGTATGTTTTAAAATTCAAATTTCGAAACATTTCAAAAGTTACGTTGCAATTGGGAATTTTTTATTTGATAGAAAAGTTTATGATACACAGATCATTCAGAATTTTGAGATTGAAAGAATGAAACCTAGTTATTAGTCATTAGTCTTTAGCCTTTTGAGAATCTTAAAAGTCAAGGAATTCTTTAAAATATAATTCATAAACTTCAAAAGTTGTCGAAATTTTGCACTTTCCGTATGAGGAGCGAGGAGGTGAAGCATATGGCAAAAACAGGTGTGACGTCAGGTGACGTTCTAACGTAGGGTGCCATCAGCTCACATTCCTATAAGATTGTGAGATAGGGACTGTTTAGTGGAGTCATTTTTTTTTTGTCTGGAATTTTGAGGGCTGAATGTGGCTCGTTAGCTGATGAGAATATGGGTGATTCTAATGCCTGCCGCCCGTTCGAACATTTGGAGAAGAAAAAAATTCCTTTACATGAAGATCTTTTTTAATGATCTCAAATTTTCTTGCTTTTAAATAAAAGAATAACATTGATAAATAAATCACCCATAAAAAATACCAGATGCTTTTCAATAGCTGAAAAAGTGGGGATGGATGTCAACTTCCAAGAAAATAGAAAAGAACCTTCCGCGTTTACTTTTTGTCTGGCAATCGAGAGAATAAAAGGTTTCGTTGTGAAAATAACGCTGAAAAATCGCCAGACGGTAATCACAGTTCGAAATCGAGTTTTCCTGTGAAACATTCTGTGGACATGTCGAACAGGGGGCAGGCATTAAAACCACTTATATCTTCATCAGCTAACTAGCCACATTCAGCCCTCAAAATGCCAGACAAAAAAAAAATACTCCATTGAACAGGCCCCTATCTCAGGGTTTATATGGAGTATCATTAAAATCGACGGACTTCACGTTACACCAACTGTCAAAATCAATTTAGTACCTTGTTCCATTCTAAATGATTTTCCAGACCCAAATACATATTCTTATCGCATTATGAGAGAATTCATATTTTACCTTGGAAAAAGCAGTCATAATAATAGTTGAGGGAAAGTCGTCGTCTCCAGACAACTGGATCGTTTCAAAAAAAATGAAAATAATAAAACGACCAGTCCTGACCGAAGAAGTAGTAATAGTGAACATTTCTATTCAAATTCTCCTTGTATTTTAATTTCCATTTTCTGTAATCAGTGAACGGGCGTCCCTTTTTTTGATTACAGTATTTGGCGAATTGAAATTTATATAATCATAAATAATATTTTGCTTTAATAAAATTTTATTTACAGAGCCACTACAAATGACCACTCTGGTGAGCGTGGTCGGTGCCCTATTAGTCGGTTGCCTCGTGCTGGTTTGCGTCTGCATTTACGCAATCAGAGCGGGAAAATGTTGCTTTTCAAGTAAGTGATGGTATTTATGGCTCTAAAAAAGTCTCTCAATTGCTCCAAAAACTTTAACAAGCTAAAATGTGTAAGTCTGAAGATCAAGTAGTAAAAGATTTGATACAAATCATACTAACTTTTCAAAAACGTTTCAAGAACAAACAAATGGATGCATTTTTGAAGTGAAAACTTCTTAAGAACCGTTGGGAGTGATTTGAGACGATGAAACGAAAAAGCGACCCTGAAACGAAAAAGCGACCCTGAAACGAAAAAGCGACCCTGAAACGAAAAAGCAACACTTTTTTAGCACGCCTATATTAACACACAACAAGAACCTGGAACAAGCCAAGTGAGCTGGAACAAGTCTGGAAAATGTCTGGATAAATCTGGATGAAGTCTGGAAATCTCTGGAAACGTCCGGAAAGAGCCTGGAAATTTCTGGAAAGGGTCGGAAAAATTCTGCCAAAGGCCCCAAAGGACCTGGGGATTATTTTCCAGAATCCGGATTAGTCTGTACAAGTCTGGATAAGGTCTGGATAAATCTAGATAAAGTCTGTAAAACTCTGGATAAGTCTGGTTATTGTCTGGAAAAGTCTGGAAATCTCTGGAAACGTCTGGAAAAGACTTGGAAATTTCTGGAAAGGGTTGGAAAAATTCTGAAAAAGGTCCCAAAAGACCTGGGGATTATTTTTCAGAATCCGGATCAGTCTGTACAAGTCTGGATAAGGTCTGGATAAATCTGGATAAAGTATGTAAAACTCTGGATAAGTCTGGATAAGTCTGGATATTACCTGGAAAAGTCGGGAAACGTCTGGAAAGGATTGGAAATATTCTGAAAAAGGTCCCAAAAGACCTGGGGATAATTTTCCAGAATTCGGATCAGCCTGAAAAAGTCTGGATTAATCTGGATGAAGTCTGGAAAATTCTGGATAAGTCTGGATAATGTCTGGAAAACTCTGGAAACGTCTGGAAAAGGCCTGAAAATTTCTTGAAGGGGCGAAAAAATTCTGGAAAAGGTCCTAAAAGACCTGGGGATCATTTTTCAAAATCCGGATCAGTCTGTACAAGTCTGGAAAGCTCTGAATAAGTCTGGATAATGTCCGGAAAAGTCTGGAAATCTCTGGGGCTGACACGCTTTTATAATACATCGAACTAAAAAGTGAAAAATAAATATATTTTAAAAAAACTAAAAAACACGCTTTTATAGTAAATTGAACTAAAAAGTGAAAAATAATTTTTAATATAAACAGAAAATATTAATGAACAAAAAATTTCAGAATTATTGTCAAAAAAGCGTGGGGTGCTCAATGTATGAGAAATGTGGAACAAAGCACCCCAGCGTGTATTTTAGTTTTTTTAAACTATATTTATTTGCGCTCTTTCTCAAGTCTTTTGGAGGGGGTGGGGACGCCACTGTGTATGTTAGTATGTGTTTAATGCATGCAGGTCGATGAAGGTTTCACTTCTACCGGGTGTGAACTGCACAGGATTTTCCCTAGTAGAATTAAAAAGTTTGAAAAATATTTTGTTTTCGTAGAGCCGTTTCAAGTAAGAAAATAAGGGATCGTTTTTAATATTTTCAACGTGAAGAGACAAGTTAATAACGAGCCTTATCGTAACCGTTAATATTTGCGACCCTTTTTTTTGTGAGGGGCAAAATGGACACAGAATACGTTTGCGAAAGATATTTGCGGATAACGAAATGGTGAGAAAAACAGCTTCATAAAGTGAAGATAATCATTTGGATGAGGGTTTTATGCAGGTTCAGAAAAAAAATCCATCCCAGGAATTATGTCAGTGATGATTTTTGGAGTTATTTAGGTGATGTTGTTTATGAATTTAATCTACGTCGGTGTCATTATGACACATTTAGCATTGTCATTTGAATGTCATTAGGTCCTTCATAATAGCACTAGTGCGTTTAAGAATTCATAATAACACCCAAATTTTGAAATGAAAAATATACAAAAAGAAAGTTAGTTGCCAGAAGAACCTTTTCAATAATGCTGTCTCTATATTCGAAGAGACACTTTCAAACTCAGAATCACCAATAATAATATTATTTTCCACTATAAAATTGAATTTACGGCACAAAAATGGACTCCAATATTGAAGCTGCCAAAGTCAAAATTCTAAAAACCAACAAGCAGGTTCTCGACTAGTACGGGCACCTGCTAAATTTCAAATTTTAATTTGAAAAGTTTTTGCTATTTCAAGGCAAATCAAATCTATTTGGACCATTGTAGATTAAATTTTGAATGATACAAGTTCAATAAAGCAATCTTATCATCATCCGAATGCATTATCGAAGTTTTACAGCCCGCATCTTGGTGGTCAAGTCTCATAGTACCGAGAATTAATTTTATTTTTATTGATTTTTAAATAATTGACGACACTGTAGATAAATGCAGTAACACATTATTCCAAATTTATTCAGTTATCATCGCAAGTATATATGTATACATGATAGAAATCGAATAAAAATAAATAGAATTGTGAAAATTTAGTTTGTTCCAAAGTTTCAAAAAAATTACATCTATTAAATTATCATGTGAAATATCCGGCAGCAGTTTCCTGATACGTAGCGGAAGCTTCATTGCAATTTAACTTGCCCCTATAGCACAGATCCCTATAGGTTAATTTCACAGACTCAATTATCTGTATGAATTTCAATTAGTTGAGACAAAACAAACAGATTTGAATACTTTAAAAAAATTTAAACAAAAAATTAAAGAATGGCTGATAACTGTACCGAGAAAAATTATACATAGCTGGATAGATATCAAGAATTTTCACAACGTGTAAATTAGGATCAAAATATCATTATATATTATCGAATTACCTACATAAAAAACAATACAAAAAAAAATAATAATAATGATAAACAAAAAAGAAAAAAAAAAAGAAAAAAAAAAAACATTTAAGAGTAAACTGAAAAATGAATAAACAAAATAACCCAAATTATGACAACTCTGAATTATGACATATTTTTTTTCCCGATTATGACAACATAACCTAGTATTAGATATTACCTAACTTTGACACTATAAAAAACATATAATTTAATCCTAAACTGTAACAATGTGTGTGCTGGATAGGGGTAGGGAAGTATGTATATATAGATATAGTATTTTCTTTTTTCTTGATTTTTTCTTCATTTTGGTTTTGCATCGGTTATTGAAATGCTTGTTTGTTTTTTTTTTTTTTTTTTTCCTTTCTTCTTTTTTTTAATTAATTTTTTTTTCTTCATGGGCGGCTTTAATAGATTTTTCCAATTATTATGTTAGTTATCTACCTATTTGAACGGCTTCACACTATTTTCCAAAAATACACTGATACCGATTTGCAAGTTGATTTAATCCACCACTTTGAGACATTAAATCAAACATTTTTGGGCAAACAAGCCATTAAGGCTTTAGAATGCCTTTGAAATGTTTATTTCGGCTTGGAGAGATGTAGGATAGATATAGTTATTATTGTAAATATTGCTGTGAATAAACATTATTATTATTATTATTATTATTATTAAATAATTCTAAAATTGGCTTATTTATCATCAATAAACAATATTTTATTGTATAACAAACTAAACATATCTATTGCCTTGCCAGCTAAAATTGAATTTATTGCCAGTTAATGATACAAAAATAGATTAAATTATTTTTTTCCGAAGGTTCAAATTTGAAAAAATCGGCGTGTGTTTGTTTTATAAAGCTAATAAATATTTTCTTTTAGCTTCGAGATTTTCTTCACAATCCCCATTAGCAATGCAAAAATGCGTCTAAAATATGCGTAACAAGCTCTATTAAGGACCAGTGGCGTAGAGACGATGTTCCGGGCCCGTGTTCAAAAATTTCACCAGGCCTCTACTCCTGCGAGATGAAAAAATTGAGAAATGATAGAAATATAGGTCTTTTTCAAATATAAGTACAGGGTGAACTTAAAGTATGGAACATATTCAATAATAAAATAAATGAAGGCGTTTTCGAAAAAATGCTCGGACACGTCGATTTTGTTTGAGATCTTTTCACTTTTTTATGTTAATGTTTTTATACAAGAACTGAAGAACAGCTGTACCGTTATCAACTTTATTTTTTCAAATGGTACCCTCTGTATATTATTTTTGAATTCTGCGGAAAGCTAAACTCACCTTATTAAAGGGCAGCGCAACCAAGGTTCCTAAAGTTAATAGGTTGTCTGGTAATGGGTAACTTGATGACTCATCAGGATACTTATTCTTGAAACAGGGGAGCAGCGTTCCCAGGAGAACAAGTGTTCCGTCTTTCTCGATGATATGCAAATGACAATATAAGTAACAAAAACAGAGAACACTCGTTCTCCTGGGAACGCTGCTCCCCATGTGCCTGTAGACAATGTCAACGTAAACAATTGATTGTCTACGCGTAGACAATTCGAATTGTTTACGTGAGCATTTGTCTACACATTGGGTGGTATGAATAAAAACTGAGTTTAAACTCGGAGTATATTAGTTGAGGAGCTGGCGTCAAAAACATGCAAGAGTTTTCGCAAGGCGGATATTTTCAAAATAGGTCGTACTTTAGTGTTAGAATGCTAGTGTACAGTCAGCACGCACAGTTCCGGGACAGCTGGCGCTGGGAAGCGGGCAAAGTTGTAATTTTAAGAAGCATCTAAACTGTTTTCTCAAAGCTCAAAATTTATAGAAATTCTGCACATTATCTGTTTGAAGGTCACAGATAACGTATGTAAATCGTCAGACGTCTAGTTCGTTGCAAAAAGAGGGTCAGACGTCCTCAAAGTTTTTATTTTATGGCATTTTCTTCGATGTCCTGTCAAAATATATTTTTGCAGGTATTTGACAAATATATTTGAAGAAAATGCCATAAAATAAAAACTTTGAGGACGTCTGACCCCCTTTTTGCAACGAACTAGACGTCTGACGATTTACATACGTTATCTGTGACCTTCAAACAGATAATGTGCAAAATTTCTATAAATTTTGAGCTTTGAGAAAACAGTTTAGATGCTTCTTAAAATTACAACTTTGCCCGCGTCCCAGAGCCAGCTGTCCCGGAACTGTGAGTGCTGACTGTACACTAGCATTCTAGCACTAAAGTACGACCTATTTTGAAAATATCCGCCTTGCGAAAACTCTTGCATGTTCTTGGCGCCACCTCCTGGACTACATACACCTAGTACATAGAGTAGACACTCAAAAATTGATTTGATAACCACTCCGCATTTTTTTTACTAAACCGGTACAACTATTTAAAGTCCCGATCACACGTATTTTTTCTAGCTTTGTAAAATTTTTTCAAACGCAGGTTAAAATTGAAGAATTCTGCCATAGCTCTGACTTCTACCGAGGGAAAATCGGTACTGAAATAACTTGAAGCAGAAAGTTAAGTCTACTGTATAGCAGACTCTTAAACTCTGGAGTAGATTCTCCTGCCGAACTTAAGGACTATCCACACACATCAGTTCCGTACCAGTGCCGTTTCAGTTCAGTACCATTGACAGTGGAAAATAAAATATCGTTGCCTATTCTCAAATGAACCTTAGACAAGTCCGGCGCAGTGACATTTTTTTACCATCAGTGCTGCCTCAGTGTCAGTTCTGTGTTTTTTATTAAAGTCGGCAACGATAAAGGACTATTTACACACATCAGTTCCGTATCAGTGCTGCCTCAGTTCAGGATCAGTGCTATCCGTGCCTCATCAGTGGTGACAATTCACACATATCCGTCTGTAGTCCGTACCATGCTTTCAGTGAAATGTCATAATTCGGAGATCAAACGCAAATTCCAATCGATTTCCGTCAGTGAAATACACAAAATATCGTTGCCGATTTTAATTAAAAAAATACGGAACTGACACTGACGCAGCACTGATGGTAAAAAACGTCACTGCGCCGGACTTGTGTGAACAGGTTCATTTGAGACTAGGCAACGATATTTTATTTTTCACTGCCACTATACTGAACTGATACGGCACTGATACGGAACTGATGTGTGTGAATAGTCCTTAATTTGTGTATTTCACTGACGGAAATCGATTGGAATTGACCTTTTGTTTGGACGCCATATTGCGGTGCGCGAACATAGTTGCCAAAAGTAGAAAAAAAATTACCAACTTACTGTCAACATTAAACACAGAAGGTACTGAATAAATTATATTAAAAATTTAAATTTGAATGTTATTGAAAAGAAAAGCCATAAGCCATCAATTTTAGCTTGTATTGGGCAGAATAGAAATAATAAAATATCTTAACTTTGTTTCACCAGAGTTCATACTTTTGACATAATTTGCCTTCCTTTTTCAACAAATAGAAATTGACTGAAACAAATCAATGACGTCAAAAACGTTCGTGGGTCTGTGCAGAAGTCATTCATTTTAATTTATCAAAAAAATTGAAGGCATGTGTCATATGAATTAATCTACGACAACCCTTTTTTTTCAAATTTTAAGGTCAAGTATGAACCCTGGTGAAACGATCTGTACCTATTTACTTTCATCAATCGGAGAGAGAAAGTAAACAAACAAAAAGGATAGCGAGGATTTAGTTACTTTTGTTTTTAATGTTGACAGCCGGCTAGTAATTTTTGTTTTCTTCTTTTGGCAACTATGTTCGCGCACCGCAATATGGCGTCCAAACAAAAGGTCAATTTGCGTTTGATCTCTGAATTCTGACATTTCACTAAAAGCATGGTACGGATTACAGACGGATGTGTGTGAATAGGGAACTTGCACATTAAATTAAATATGGAATAAATAATAAAACACAATAACAATCACCCTAATAAATGATGCACTTATAGTTGGGGAGCTGGCGTCAAAAACATGCAAGAGTTTTCGCATGGCGGATATTTTCAAAATAGGTCGTACTTTAGTGCTAGAATGCTAGTGTACAGTCAGCACTCACAGTTCCGGGACAGCTGGCTCTGGGACGCGGGCAAAGTTGTAATTTTAAGAAGCATCTAAACTGTTTTTTCAAAGCTCAAAATTTATAGAAATTTTGCACATTATCTGTTTGAAGGTCACAGATAACGTATGTAAATCGTCAGACGTCTAGTTCGTTGCAAAAAGGGGGTCAGACGTCCTCAAAGTTTTTATTTTATGGCATTTTCTTCGGTGTCCTGTCAAAATATATTTTTGCAGGTATTTGACAAATATATTTGAAGAAAATGCCATAAAATAAAAACTTTGAGGACGTCTGACCCCCTTTTTGCAACGAACTAGACGTCTGACGATTTACATACGTTATCTGTGACCTTCAAACAGATAATGTGCAAAATTTCTATAAATTTTGAGCTTTGAGAAAACAGTTTAGATGCTTCTTAAAATTACAACTTTGCCCGCGTCCCAGAGCCAGCTGTCCCGGAACTGTGAGTGCTGACTGTACACTAGCATTCTAGCACTAAAGTACGACCTATTTTGAAAATATCCGCCTTGCGAAAACTCTTGCATGTTTTTGGCGCCACCTCCTGGACTATTAGGAAAAAAATATAATATCCTATCTCTGGTGTCCAAAATCTTCAATTAAAATTTACCAAATAGATCGAAATTCATGACGCGATCAAAAACGTTTTTCTATGGGTCGTGACGTCACAAGGCAGTAATAATCGGGTCGCGCCACTGCCACGTCATGTGCTGCTGGTGACGCCAATGTCAAATCTATCAAAAACTGCATACATAACCATGATCTTAATCTACCTGCTCAAAGTTCGAAGTGCTCATCACTGTCATCGGAATTTTGTTGCCGATTGACGTCACACTAATCGGTCGTTTCAAATGGCGATGTTTCGAGCGTAATTTCAAATATTTATAAAAAATTAACGGGGCTAATTTTTAAAGTTTGATATTTGGCATGACTATGTCTTTAGTGTAGTAGAACACATTTTTGAAATAAAAAAAAAAATATGCAAGTTCCCTATTGTCACCACTGATGAAGCACGGATAGCACTGATACTGAACTGACACAGCACTGATACGGAACTGATGTGTGTGAATAGAGTCCTTTAAGGGTTTATCAGCCTATTTAAGCTTAAAAATGGGGAGCGTAAATTGGAGGATGATTAGACTATGCGGAGGACAATGAAAATTAAATTTTGCTTTTGTAAGGGCCAAATTATGGACTGACTGATAAGCGTCTGGTTGTTACCTAGCAGGTACCTTCTATGCACTAGAGAATAGAAAGTACCTGCTAGGTAACAACCAGACACTTACCAGTTGGTCCATAATTTGGCCCTAAACACAATTTTGAATAATATGATATTAAAGATAATTAATTTCAGACAGAAATATTTTGTTTGCCAACCATAAATAAGTTTATAACTCATTTAAATGCCTAAGAAGCCGTCGAAAAATGCAATCCAAAAAAAAATCAAAAAATGAAGAATTTACAACATTTGGCAGTGCGAACACAAGTTTTATAATTAAATTCCAAATCTATTGTCTCTAATGTGGTTTCGTTGATTCCGAGTCGCATCTTGCCGAGTTAAATTCCTCCAAGGGATAGTTCAGTGAGCCGATAAAGTCGTTCGTTACATGCTATCCAGGGATGAGTTGTAACGTTTCAGCAAATAGAGTTTTCGGTCGGTACTTAGATGGACTGGAAAAGCTCGATAGTAACGAGACGAACAATTTGCCGCTGATACGAACATGAGCAAATACAGATATACAGGGTGTCCCAAAAAGATACCGACAAACTTTAGGGGGTAGTAGGGGACATCAAAACAAGCATTTTTGTTTATATAAACATATGTCCGCAAATGAGCCATTTGGGCTGTAGAGCAAAAAAACTGTTTTCATTCTTCGCAATAATTAAATCACTGTTTACTTATTAAATTTGCTTTATTAACAAATCAATTATGGTTTACAATAATTGTTCAAAATGTTGACCATTTACTTCAATGCCAAGATTGCACCGTCGGGTCATTGACTGAAAAGTTTAGTCTACGAAACACCTGTTCGTAATGAGGAAGATCTGTTAGCAAGGATACTGGCGAGTTGTACCCATGTAGAAGCTATTCCCGGAATATTCCAAAGGGCTCGCGAGTCAATGACCCGACGGTGCAATTTTTGCATTGAAGTAAATAGTCAACATTTTGAACAATTATTGTAAACCATAATTGATTTGTTAATAAACCAAAATTAAGAAGTAAACAGTGATTTGATTATTGCGAAGAATGAAAAGAGTTTTTTTGCTCTACAGCCCAAATGGCTCATTTGCGGACATATGTTTATATAAACAAAAATGCTTGTTTTGATGTCCCCTACTACCCCTTAAAGTTTGTCGGTATCTTTTTGGGACACCCTATATTAGATTATTAGTGTTCCTTTATGAGACTATAATATCGAGGCTATTTCTGTTCCATTCACAAATAGCAAAAACTTGAGCAGTTACAGTGCCATTTACTTTTGTAATCGTAGAATTAATGCAAGAAAAATTGGCAACTAAAATCATCGATAAACGCCTCGATAAAAATATGAAGTCCCTGCCTTTTTTATTTATTCTTCTGAGGAGAGACCCATCTTTCTAGTTACGTGAACTTGAGAAATAAACTCAGGTTTAATTTACTCATAATCTTTAAGGGTTTGATACCATTTTATTTATGTGTTTTGTCAATTTGTCCAATTCGTAAACATTTTGTCCTCATTTGGATTGAAAATAAAAACTAGCGAAATTTGTCTATTGGCAACTAAAATCATTAATAAACGTCACCGTGAAAATGAGAACCCCTATAATTATACCACGAAGTTTTTTAATAATTACATTTTTGTGTACTCATAAGTGTACCGACCCTAGCGTGAAAAAGAAAATTATAACGAAAGCATAATAAATGTCTCCCAAATTGAGTGACAGACCATAATGAAGGGGTTTATGGCGAGTCCTCCCAATTTATTTTACAAAAAATTATTATTATTATCGAGCCAAAAATCCTTCTGTATAAGCGAAAAATATTTAATTCTGATGCAACTAAAGTCGATTGTTTTTATTTTTGCAGGAAAGAGCGACTTCAAGCCATCGGACATTCACGAGTAAGTACACATATCCGAGAGGACGTAAAACTGGTCAAAATAAATAGTACCAACCGTCTTTTAGCTACAATGATAACGTTGTCGGGATTCGATAAGTTCTGTAGAGCTTTCAAATCAAAATTTTCAGAATTCTCGTTTTTATTATTGGCTCGGATTTTGCTGGATTATTCAATTCAGGTTCAAATTGCAATAGTCAATTGTCGCACTTGTTTGTTTTCCAAAATGTTGTCCCAAATTGAAAATTCCAGTGATATCAGACTAGCCTACTAGTCCTCCTAGTGGGCTTGTGCAACAGCTAGAAAGTAATTGATAATTCGCTGCGTATCTGAAGATCCTAGGAATCTCTGTGAAGAAGAATCAGGTAATTTGAGAAGATCCTTTGATATTTATAGATTCCAGTCTTCTCATAAGAGAACAAAAAATTTGCAAGTCTCCCGGACTAATGAATCTGAAGATCTAATGAGTTTTCTTATGGCAGAATTCGAAAATTTGCAGACTTCTAGAACTCATTGATTTAATCATAGAAGGACCAAAAAATTTACCGAATGATGTGTCAGGATAGATATTCTAGAATCTTCTCATAAAAGAAGAAGAAACTTGCAAAGTTCCGAAACTACAGGATCCAAATGAGTCTCCCACAGAAGAATTAGTTAGTTAGTTTCAAAGTGATGACTTAAGATTTGAAATTGAAATGAAGATTTCAGTCTTCTAATGGAAGTGTGAGAAAATCTGTAGAGTGCTAATTCCGGATTTAGGTAAAGACTCATAAAAAGACTAGAACATTTTCAAAGTTCAGAATCTGAGATATTTTGTGGGTTTTCCCACGGCAGATTAGGAAATTTCAAGATGGTTGACTTCAAATTTGAGATCCACATATTCTAGAGTCCTGTCATAGGGAAATAAATACATTTTCAAAGTTTTCAGATTCGGAAATCTTAAGATTTCATGAGTTTTCTCATGGAAAGTGATTACTCCAGCTTTGAGATCGAATGATTCTAGGGTTTTCATGACTATAACGAGGAAATTTGTATAGTGATGATCCCTGATTCAAGATATAAATATTCTATAGTCAAGAAAAAACGAGCAACTTTGCACATTTATCAGACTTTATAATACGACGATTTTATTAGTTTTCTCATAGGGAATAAGGGAAACCAGAGAATTTCTAGATTGATGAAAGTGTTTTCCGGATTTGAAATATAATCCTTCACATGGAAGAAAAAAAATTTTTTTATCTTTATACTTCAGTCTTCTCATGGCTACCTATACGAAGAAATTTGTGTAGTGATGATTCCAGATTTAAGATCTAGAGATTCTAGAGCATTTTCATAAAATAAGAAAAAAATTTAAAAGTTTCCAGACCTAAAAGTCCAAAGATTTTAGGTTTTTTCTTATAGAAAAACCAGAAAATTTGGAGTGATAACTTAGGAATCAACTCTAGAGTTTAGAGTCTTCTCATAAAAATATTTAAGTTGTGAAGAGTTTAGCAACTTCTCTCAGAGGAATAACTAATGAAATTTGCCAATTTTCTAGACTCCTAGATCCGAAAATTTTATGATTTTTTGTCATAGAAGAAATTAATTTCTGATCCCTAATTTCGATCCATCTTGTCCTATAAAAAAGGCCATCATTTGAGTAAATAATTCAATTAATTACTCATGATTTCAATATTCTTAAAAAAAAAAGAAGCACAAAAAGTATAACACAGGATTCAGATTTTGAGAATCTCCTCAACCAAAAGCCAGAATTAGGTCCAAAAACTAAATTTCTATTCTTTTCTGGATTTTGCGGAGTCGCTCCATCTTGTGCGAATCTTCTATTATTTGGAGTTCAAGCACCGAGTTTCTTTGGAATATTCCAGAATCTTCTCAAACTGAACTGAACAACTAACTTACTTTGCTGCAACCTTTCATAGAGTTTTATAGGCTTTTACAGTGTGTACCCTTTTGGAAACTTTTAAAATAGCTGTAACCTTTTTACTTGAAACCAGGGGCCCGCGCCTCCCAAAGCTTCAGAGAAAAATAGAGAAATAATGAAATAGACAAAAGCTGTAAACTTTTCATATCAAAAAAACGTTTTGGTTTATAATAGGTATGTGAAAAAAATCCAAGAACAACATCGAAAACCTCGCCTCTCTGCCGGATTTCTATCAAAAGATATAATAATAATAATAATAATAATAATAATGATAATAATAATAATAGTATATTACATACCGAGTAGGGAAGTGCTTCATTACTGTCGAGAGATTTATATAGTCAATCGAGACGCAAAGCGTCGAGATTGACTATTAATCTCGAGACAGAAATGAAAACTTTCCTCCGAGGTTTGTATACTATTTTATTTGCAAGCAAATTATATTTTCGATTCAGAAACTTTTATTTTAAAAAACATTTATTTTATTGATTAAAATACAGAGGTGACAAAAGAAAATATTCGGATCAAATTGCTACAGGCTAAAGCCAGAAAACAAATGAACGTTCCTTATGGGACGGCATCCGCTTAAATAAACATTTAATGCCGACATAGCAATTTGATGTTTACTTCACAACAATGTATTTAAAAAGTCCTAGAGGAAAGGGGTAAGCACATTAAAGCATATAAAAAATAGATAATTTATTATAAATCAGTATGGCAGTTGGTTAATATAACTCCTCCCTCCTTAAGATGTTGCAAACGTGGATTGTGAATTCAAATCAGACAATTCAATTTGCACATTTGCACAACCTTTTTCTGAAGTTTTAAATTTCCTAAAACAGTAAAACGGTAAAATTCAAAATAAAATAGCAAGACTTAAACCTATGATTACATATGTGTTTAAATAAGAGTGTTCAAAATACAATTCTTTTAGATTATGAACTCTTATTTGTTTCGTCGCCTTGAAGGCTTCTTCTAAGTCTTCTTGGTTAATTTCTTGAAGTTCCAATGTTGTTGCGTTCTCCGGAAGTTCAGGGATGTCTATTCTTGGAATCTTCAGTTCAAAATTGAAGTTCTCGCTGGTTTTTGAAAATGTTTCATTTTGGAATTTTCACAAAACCTTTCTCAAAAGAAACTAGCGTTGGATTAGTTATTATTTCCATATGGTTTGTCTTGTCACATTGAATAACTATGGTCAGGCTTTTCTTAGGAATGACTAATAGTTGTCCATTCGGGAGTAGTCTCACTGTTGGTTTTTCATATTTCACTTTAGTGAAAGGACATTGTTGTGGTAGGTCAGTAATCAGGTCGTAGACACATGATTCTTCTTGCTTCAGCTCTTCTTGGTTACAAAGGTACACACTTTCGACTTTTGGGCATTCCCATAACGTATTGCAGTAAATGTCCGTAGTAAGTAATAGGTAAGGGTACTTATTCCTAATGGTAAGTTCTTGGATAGGAATTGGATAGATTTTATACAATATAAAGGGCTTGGGATCAATCATTGGTGTGTGTATAACAAATATAATTAACTCATTTTGGATTTTTACTTGAGTTTTCATCGTCTCGTAATACTTGGTTTTATTATCAAAAGGTATTTGCTGACTTTTGGGTATATTTGTTAATATTTGATTTAATTCATTATGCTGTAAAATAGTATAATGCATTATTCCCAATTGTGCAAAATTTATTGCTAATTGCACATGATCAATAAGATTCCTTATTTTATTACTTTGAATATTGATGTTGTTCAATATTAGATTAAAGGTTAACATTGAGTGGAAATTTTGGTTTTCCAAGGAAATATTTTGTAATTTTCCTGTGATAACCTTTTGGTTAGATTCAATAGTTAAAAATTGATCGTGAAATGTTTTTGTAACTTGTTTCAATACTTGAGCTTGTGTTTTTAGATCTTCATTGAGAGTTTTTTGATTATCATTAAGCGTCTGGATATAAGAATCATATCTTGCGCCGTCTTCAGCATCTAGGGTTCCGTAGAGCCATTTTTGTGCTGTGCCCATGAAATTTAATAGACCTCTTTTATTACTTTTTCGGTCTTGATAGGTTCTGATTACTTGTTTCATAATCTTATTTGAGAATGACTGTTTTCAATATTTGTTTGAAACAGTGCAACAAATTGGTTTGACCATGTTGTTTTGTTAAGAGTGTCAGATAATTTCATTAAGGTGATTTCCAGTTTATGGATACTTTGTATGATAATTGTCGTGTTTATGTGATAATAGGCCGTGTTATGTTGAGTTGTTACGTAAGTAGTTCCTAAAGAGATTGGTAAAATAGGATTTTCTACCGTCATCAATGTATACGCTTGGGTGACTCCAACGAGAGTTAGGAATACTAAAGGATTCATCTCGGAGTACCTGAAATAAATTATTGTCGTTTAACATTTTGTTTAGCAAAGCGAATCTGTGTTTTGCTATCATAACGCGGACTTATCTTGTCTCTATTAAATTGTTTTACAGAGATTGGATCTTGTAATTCTGGTTCAGGTTCACGATTTTTATTACGTGATTCTAAAGACTTTGTTTGTTTCGCTAATAATTTTTCTTGAATTTCTTTATTCAAATTTGCAAGGGATTCTGCCAAACTTGTTATATAGTTAGTTGTTAGTTTATTTTCCGTTTGTTCAATCGGTATGGCATAATTCAAATCTCCTTTAATCAATTGAAAAGGGGTGTGATTCATTGTACTATGAGTACTGTTGTTATAATTCAATATAGCGATTGTCATTAGATCGATAATACTTTTATTTGGGTTTTGGAGTTTTAAACTCGTTATACTTTCACGTAGTGTCGAGTGGAAACGTTCGATTGGACTATTCGAGTTCGGGTTACTTGGAGTTGTGTAATGAAACTCAATTTTGTATAATGTACAAAGATCTGTCATTATAGCATTTTTGAACTCTGCTCCATTATCTGATGTGATTTTTTGGGGTATTCCATGATCACTAAAATATTTCAATAACTGTGATGATATTTCAACAGCTGTTTTTGTATTTACAGGAGAAGCTTGACCAAATTTTGAAAAGCTATCAATAATGGTCAGAAATTTCTGGTTATTGATTG